AGGGAGGGAGGGAGAGAAGGAGGGAGGGAGGGAGGGATGGAGGGAGGAATGGAGGGAGGGATGGAAGGAGGAATGGAGGGAGGGATGGAGGGAGGGAGGGAGGGATGGCTGCATGGACCTGTGGTGGCATGTGGGGAAGGATGGATGGGTGGTGGGTGAGCGGATGGGAAGGAGCAGGCAGGTGTACAGCCTCAGCGGGGGCTCAGCGGGGGAGGGGGTGGATGGAGGGCTTTATGACAAAGCTCCTCCTCCTTAAGCCCTGTCCCTCTTTCTGGAGACTCTTCATTGGCGTCTCATCTTTGGTTGTTCCCTGGGATACAGAGTTGAGCAAGACCCTTGCAGCTTCTTTGTGCCCATGGTCTGGTGGGGGTCAGGGGATTGAAGGTGCCCTCTCGGTCCAGCTGCTGCTGTGAGCTCCTTCCACCACCCCTCCCGGGCCAGGCAGGCAGAGGCGGAGCGAGCTGCGTGCAGGATGCTGCCCTCGGCTCAGGTGGCGTTTCGGTGCAGGAGGCAGACTTGAGCCCAGATGTTTCACATTTGTTGCAGAGAATGCCGTCCATGTCGGGAGACGTGGCCGGGGTCAGGGTGACATGGAGGGGCCAGGCTCTTGGTCAGGAAGACTAATGAACCTGCCTGAGCCTGGGCCCCGCGGGCACATGAAGCAAACCCACCGCTGGCTGGAGACAGCCCCTGCCATTTCTGGCTTTTCATGGATGATACTGTATTTCCCCTGGGAGAGCTGGCCCGGCTCATATATCAAAAGCTGATGTAATTATTTCCTCCCACTGAGGAAGGCTTCCATTTAGCTCTCTCCAACCCCCCCCCCTTATTAATTATCTAATTACAACCACATTCTCCAAAAGAGAGCAGCCTTTGACTTTCTGCCCAGGACCACTTAAAAAGGCTTAAATATTTGGAGTGCTCTGAACTTGAAAAAAAGAAGTGTGTGTGTGTGTGTGTGTGTGTGTGTGCACGCACGTGTGCACTAAGTGTGCATATGTGCATGTGTGTTTGCATGTGCATGTGTGTGCCAGTGTGTTGCGAGTGTGTGTCTGTGCACATGAGTTTTAGGGAAACCTCTCAGCCTTGTCAGACCTCTGTCTTGATTCAGTGGGGAAACGGCACCTGGGAGCCTGTGAAAGTCCCCAGCAGAGCTCAGGTCCCTGGAAGGACAAGGCCATAACTCTGGATCATGGTACAGTGACCTGGGAGGGTGTGTGCTGACACTCAGCAACACGTGGCAGTCGGACATGACCTTGGCCACAGCCACAGCCTGGGGCCGGTGCTGGTGGGCTGGGCCCGGGCGCCAGGGCTTCGGCCTTCACCTGGAGCACATTCCCAGCACGCTCGCGGGTCCCCGCACAGCTGTGCCGGGCGCCCCTGCTGCCCCCTGTGCTCCTCCCACTGTGGCTCGCACTGGGCCTACAGCAGCCACCCGCTGAAGTCTGGGAGGCGTCCGTCACCTTGCCAGCACATCTTCAGGGAGCAGGGGCGGTGCAGGTGAGGCCTCAGGGTCCCGGATTCCGGGTCGGCCCTCTGCCTGGGTCCCCTCTCCTGGGGGCCCACCGTTCCGTCACAAGCACACTCAGAGCAGACCTGCTGTGGAGCGCAGGCGTTGTGTCTGTGTGTGCACATGTGTGTATGGTGGGTGAGGAGCGTGTGACATGGCCTTGTCCCTGGCTGGTCTCCCACCTGCTGCCCATGCAGCTGGGGAGAGAGGCTCCTGCAGCTCCCCAGAGGGTCCTCACCAGGACGCTCAGGGACCCGCCGGCATGAAGCCAGTCAGGCCCTGCCCACTGCCACTGGCCCTGTGCGTGTTTAGAGACTAGTTGTGGCACGAGGGGACTCTGCGGTGCTGGAAGAGTTGGGTGTGCTGGTGACAGTCGGGGTGCAAGAATCCGCACATGTGATGGAACTGCCTAGAGCCCCCCCGCCTCTCACACACACACCGGGCACATGATAAGCTCTTGGACAGCGCCGGTGGGACCTCCTGGTTGTGCCTGTGGCAGGTGCACGTGATGGTGCCGTCAGGGCCGCTGTGACACGCATCTGCCTCTCCTGTCCTGTCCCCACCCCTCTCCTGCATGTGGGATCATTTCGACAGTACACTAGCGCTGTCCCGTGTCTCTGTGTCCTCATCCCCTGACCCCAGCCCTGGATGCCCATCACTACCAGAAGTGCCAGCCGCTGCCTCCAGGCTGCCCAGTGTGTCCACCCAGAGTAGCCCTTCCCCACGCGCAGCCAGCTGAGGGAGGCTTGTGGAGCCCGAGGGCTGCAGCAGCCCCGGGAGTCGGGTGGGGGTCAGTCTTTAGGGGGTCTGGGAGCTCTGGCCTGGCCTGGACCATGGGGGCAGCAGGGTGTTGGCAGGGGCCACCTGTTAAGTTTCATCCAGAGGAGGCCTGAGGCAGGACAGGTCTCCGTGGGCTCCCCAGGATGCAGGACGCTGAGCAGGGCCCCAGCAGCTCACCCCTCTCTCTGTCTTCCAGACCCACCTGCGTGTCTGAGGCCCAGCGGAACTGGGGGGCCCACACCTGCGGCTTCTGAAACCTGGACAGCACCGTGGCGGCCCCTGCGCTCCAGCGGTGTGCAGAGGGGGACAGCAGCAGGGGCAAGGCCGGAGCCCCTCCTCCCAGAGACCCCCGCACGGAAGGCCACTCCGCCCTCCTGCCGCGACCTCTGACCTGTCATCTCGTCACCATCCGGAACTTTCTTCTGGGTCTTGTTTTGGGGAGTGGACTTATTCTTTCTGGAAATCTCTAGATTCAGGAATGAGCTTATGAGTACCTGGATTTTGATTTGTATTTCTCTCTAAGTGCCTTTTTCAATGTATATTTTTTTAATAAAACAGAAATGCGTTCTCGTACCATCTGTTTAAACTGGACCAAGGCTCTCAGAAAAGGAACCTCAAGTTGCCTCCCACCCCCGCCCTCTGCGCGACCTTCAGGAAGCCCCCAACGAGCCCTTGTCACATCTCTGCCCTGCTCCGTGACTTGCTCAGCTAGCCATTTTTTATATTCCCCGTTTCAGTGTATATGTTGCTTATTTGTTTATTTATTGAGATATTTTTACAGCCTAAGTGACTGCACTGTGCTGTGTATACTGCTCCCCGCCAGGAACAATAAAGATGCCACCCAGCCCTGGTCTCTGCCTCTCTTCTTGCAGCTCAAGGGACGGCCTGAGAAAGCCGGTCACAGAACGACCGCTGCTCCACCCTAAAGGGAGATGGAGAGGACGGGAGAAGTCTAGGCTGCACGAGCCATAGAAATTTCTAGAAGCTACCAACTCGAGTGTGGTTGTGAGTGTTAACAGACCCAGGCCCGGGCAGCGGTGGTCAACCACGTTCCACCTCTGTGACAAAGTACCTGAAACCAACCCAGAAGAAGGAAACTCATTGTGGCTCACGGTTCCAGAGTTTCAGGCCACGGTCGGCCAGCTCCATGGCTTTGGGCCTGTGACGAGGCAGGACACCAGGGCGGGAGCCGAGGTGCAGCCCAGAGGCACCTCAGGGTGACTGGGCAGCAGAGAAGGAGAGGGCAGGGCGGGGCTGTCCCTGTCCCCCCTGGGGGCACACCCAGGACGCCCCTTCCTCCCCCGGGGCCCCTCCCTGAGGCTGTGGACCCCTTCCACACCTGGCCTCTGGGGCATGGTCAGGGTTCCGTCCACCCCAGGGGTGAGGTCCCCAGCCCGGCCACAGGCCCTATCCCGGCTGTGCTCCCAGCAGCCTCAGCAGCAAGACACCAGCGCTCCCCGGCCACTCCTGCTCTTCATTTCCACTCTCCGAGGTCAGCACCAGCCAGCGCCTACCCCCACAGCCTTCCCCACGTCTCCGAGTCCACCCTCCCCAGACCCGGTGCCCCAGCCTCTCTGCCCCCTTCTCCGGGTGGGTCATGGTGTCTTGAAACACCTCCACCCTCTGTCGACCCCAAGGACCGCGGGCACTGCCCAGCTCTCCAGAGCTGTACAGGTACCAGGTGGTCAGGCATGGAGTATCTGCCTGCCGGGCGTCTCACCAGGTCACCGTCCGAAGCCAGGAAGGAGAGTCTAGCTGGGGTCTGGTCCAGGTGGCCTCTCTATGAGAGGGACGAGGAGTCCCACACCCTGCCTGCTGGCCAGGTGACTCTGTCCATACCTGTGGGCAGCAGTGGGGAGTGCAGCTGGCCCCCAGGGTGGGGGCTTCCAACTCTGGCCTTACACCTCCCCTGATCACCATCCTGAGCCACCAGAACTGTGTCTGCTGGATGACACCTGGTGCCAGGGTCTGCTGGGCAGGACTGCCCACAGACCAGAGGACACACAGACCCCAGGTAACTCCCAGATAGCAACCTTGGGAGTGAGGGTCTCTGGCGGGACCATAGTGGCCTGCAGCCTCACCCACCCCTGCTCCCAGATCTGCCAGAGGGCAGGAGCCCCAGAACCTGAGCCCAACTGGTGTCACTTGGCTTGCTCCTAATAGTGACCATGGGACAGCACAGCTTCCTTGGAGAGGGGTCCTGGGCACCTGTCAGGGGCTGGTGCCTGCAGCCTGAGCCCGTGTCCCCTGCACTGTGACCAACAGCATAGACCTCTGGGTGCACACCCATGCATTCACACATGTGCGCACACACCTCACACACATGTATGTACATATGTGTGTACACGCCTCACACACCCATGTTTGCACACATGTATGCACATACCCATGTACACACATGCCTCTCATACCCATGCACCCACATGTGTTGCACATGCCTCACACACCTGTGCATGCACACACTTCATACATACGTGTGCACCGTGTGCACATGCACATGCAGCAGGGGGCTTGTGCACATATGCTCATATCATGTCCACTCACTCCACAGCACAAGCATGAACACACGTGAGCATGCAGCCAGCTCACACACCGACACATGCACACCCGGTGCACACACCTGAACCGTTGGAGGGGCTCTAGGGAGACGAAGAGGGAAGCTAGCCCTGCGGTCCTACGGAGCCTCAGGAGGATCCCCGTGCTGGATGGCCATGAAGCCTGAAAGGCCTCTCCCCTCATGACCCCAGACAGGCCTCTGGTCAGGTAGGACAGAACGTAGAGATGGGAGGGTGGGACTCCCACTGTGGCTTCCCCACTCCAGAGCCCACCTGCCCCAGCCTGAGTCCTGCCTGGCCTGCCTGCTGTGTGACCACGTCTCACATGAGGCCTGGCCCTGGGAGCTACCCACACCAGGGGCTGGTCAGGGGACACCCATGGGGGTGAGTGGACACCCTAGGCCACCTGGGAGGGTCAGGAGTGGAGTCCACTGGGCCTCAGAGTCCAAGAAGAGACCTGAGAGGGCATCCCCAGTCTGGGGCACCCCCACCTCCCCAGCCCCCATTCCCAGCTAGACAGGAGTCCAGTCCTGGGCAGCCCCCCAGACTGTCCCTGCTCACAGCCTCCCAGAGGTGGCCTCTCTGGGCCTGCAGGCTGCGCCCTGCCCGCTGCCGCACACCCAGTCAGCACAGGAGGGGCTCGCTGTCCCCAGGCCTCCCAGGGTCTCTCCCAAGGCCCTGGAGATGTGCAGCCGTGATCACTGGATTCCTGTCCTCTTCCCACCCATCCATGTCCTAGGTGAGGACCCTGAGGGACAGGCACTCTGTTGGGGGTGTGTGCACGCTCCCAGGGCTCCGTGTATGTCCCAGTGTGCTGTGCCCCGCTGTCGGCTCCCGGGATGCAGCTCCCGTGTGCTGGCGGCTCGGGCCCCAGCAGATGTGTGTGCGGGAGGTCACTGCTCCATGATGACCCTTGCTTTAAAGCCCTGCGGCTGCTCTCCAGGGCAGTTAGCAGCCTGTCAGCCATGGCTTGAGGACAGACCTGGAACAGGCCACGGGGCAAACATGCCCAGGACGTGGCTCGGCTGTGGCCTGAGTCCCTGGAGCTCTACGGAAAGCCTGCCCCAAACCCCCCACCTCATACCTGGGTTCATGAGAGTCCAGAGGAAGCCCTGAGAGCAAAGGGCTGGTGGGCACCAGGCAGAACCAGGCCGCCATGCCGAGCGGGGACCTGTGGGACAGTGGGCACTGGCAGACCCCCACCCTGGGCCCAGTCACACTAGCGTTGCAAACAGCCTAGCCAAGGGCCCTGGCCCAGAGCAGGAGGAACTTGGGCTTGGATTCCATTCAGGGGCAGGACCACACTGGGGGACGTCCCTGCAGGATCAAGGCCCAGACACTGCCTCGGGCAGGAGCGCTGGCCAAAGCCAACAAGACCAAATGCAGAAGTTCAGCTCTTTGCTTTTAAAAGCAACTGCACAGGCAGGGAGACATCCAGGGCCTCGCTGCCTGCACTCCGGCTCCGTGGGGACAGGAGCCTCGCGAGGCTGACGAGCCCAGGGAGGCCCAGCGTGTCCACAGGGCGTGGCCAGAGAAAGATCAGTGTGTGCCTGGAGCTGCCAGGCCCTCTGCAGGACGTGCTTGACCCTAAGAGGCAGGTTGCGATCTGGTGGAGCAGCCTTGAGCACCCAGAGTGGGTAGGTAGCCTCCCGGAGGACGAGGCCATCTCTAAAGGAATGGGCAGAGCCAGGATGTGGCTCTGGAAAGGGAGGCCCAGGAAGAGCCTGCACTGTCCCACACTGCCCATGCCACATGCAGTCTGCATTTAGTCCCCCCCTCTCCTCTGTGGTCTCGAGAGGACGTGTCCGTGGTAGAGACCGCGCCAGTGGACATTCCACTCACCACCACTGCATGAACTTGCCCACAGTAGCCATGCGTGGAGGCCGAGCTTGGACCAGGGGGCTCTGGCTGCTCAGCTGCCTCCAAGCCACAGACCCAAATGAGGGCACTGCGTTCTCTGCACTCAGGGCCATTGGCACGGGGGGACCTGAACCGTCTCTGGTCAGAAAGAAAGAGCAGGACATGGCCCTGCCCAGGCCCCAGGCACCCTGGACCCTGCTGAGTCTCACCCTCACTTCTGGCTGCCACACAGGCCCTGAGCGTGGGGTGAGTGAGTCTGGCCCTCTGCATGAGGCACCATTTCACTGCCCACCACCCTGGCCATCTGCGCTGCAGGAGCCACAGCTGGGCAAGTGAAGGCATGGCGCACACACGGCCATGGACAATCCTGTGGAACTGAGGGCTAGCCCCTGGGTGCACCAACGCACAGATCTCAGGACCCAGGAGGCAGACAGACCCCTGACCACAGCCAGCGGGAAGACTGCCCGTGTCCTTGACCAGAAGGAAGCCTAGCCACAGGGGAGGTCCCCTGCCCCAGATTTCCATGCTGCCCGCTCCTGGTGCCCTGCACCCTGTGGCCTTGGCCTCCCCGGGACTAGGACCAGCTCCTGTCTGTGCACACACTGCTGCTGACTGACAGGTGGCCCCATGCTCACTGGGGAACTCCTCTTCCTGGCCTGGCTGGACTTGGGGGTGGCCTCTGCCTGCTCCCTCCGAGACTGTGCAGATGGGTCCGAGGCAGGTGTCCTCGACCGGCTGATTCAGGACACAGGACCCAAGAAAGGGAGCAATGAGGAGACCCCAGAAGAAAAGGGGGGCTGGGAGGGGCTTCTGGGGGACTTTGGCCAGGAACCATGAAGGTCGGGTCGGCCCCCACGGCCTCCAGGAATCAGGAGTGGAGGGGGCGGGGGGGCAATCTGTTCATTAAACTACTTGGCAGGACGCCACGGCCCCGTGGGCCTGCCTGTGTGTCAGTGTCCCTAACCCTTGGTGGCTTCGTGCTGGAACTTGGCCTGCACAGGGACCTTATCTGCAGAGTCTCTGCAGATGTCACTCAGTCAAGAAGCTCAGGAAGAGCGCACCTCACTCTAAAGCCCAGTGACAGCCACACTTGTGAGAGAAAGGCAGAGGGGACTGGAGAGGAGGCCCTGTGGGGACGCCGTCAGAGGGGTCACACCAGAGCCGGGGAGCCAGGATGGGATCCTCCCGCGCAGTCCTCAGGTCAGCTGTCCTGCGGGCCCCAGACCTTGGCATTTCTGCTATTTGGGCACCTGTGGCTGGTGGACGGTGGCAGGAAGCCAGGGCAGCCTCCTGCACTGACGGTGGCCAGGAGGTGTGAGGTGACAGGAAAGATACCAGACAGGACGTGAGAGGCGAGCACAGGGCCACTCACTCAGGGCACCTGGGGGCAGTCAAGTGGCCCCTGCAGGAGTGGGGCTGGCGAGGCAGGCT